AGTTTATCACTAAGGTAACACTTAAAGTGGCCCTGAAGTGTTATCTGTTGAAGGTAGAAACTGGGCAGAATGCCAGAGATACAGTTAGAACTGATTGAAAAGAAACAGGTTGTCCGCTGCATCCATCAGCTTTCCTGTCCTAAACATCCTTCTTATTTTACTTCATAAGCGTAGCTTTGTCAGGACTGGTCCGTTCACAGCCAGGTCTCCAGTGTTCTTTTAGCATCCTAGAATAGGCTCGAGATGTCTGGCTTTATAAACTTGGCTGAGATACTGTTACCCAGCTTTGTCATCTGTACCAGGGCAGTACTCTAATACAAGGTTTAAACACAAAGCCATCCATTACCCTCCTTGCCATATGCTGCACATGCTAAGTTGGTTCTTCTTGGATGTTGTGTTAGTGTGAAATGGCCTGGGGGAAGAAGTGCAGCCGGCAGGCTCCAGACTGAGACCAGAGAGCCCGGGTTCTTCTTGCTCTTGGACGTTGGGTACAAATGTGAAGTTTACGTCCACATCAGGTCCTTCCTTCTTGACTAAGAATATGGGAAACCTGACTTATAGTAGCAAAATTGAAGGAAATGAAAAGTGGGACTGGGACATAAAACTAAGAATTTAGAGGAAAGAATCTAGGGAATTGAAAATCGACTTACATTTTGGTTTCTAGAAGAGTAGTCAAATCCTTACATAAAAAGTTAGCTGTGCAGTACCAAGCTTGAATTGCTTATGTGAATGGACATGCGTGTACGCTAACCTTTCAGTTATAATGGTTTAAGACTTTAGCATTTAATATAAACATACTTGGGTATTAAAATTAAGAGCATGCATAAACATGATATTTGAGGTACCAAGTATTATTTCCCAGGCTAAAATTTTTAATAGATTGTATGCTATTTATTGAAAAAATAGTAACTTAAATTATATGTTCCTGGTCTTACCTACTTGCATGAACATGTTTTTACTGCTTCTAACCAGACTGAAACCTGTAACTTTTTATAACTATTATTGAATCTGTTTTAAAGGAATATTTGGGTATTTACATTATTATATACTCAAGGTCTCAAGTAAAGGAGTGGACTCTTTAAATTGCAAATTACCTGTGATTAACTGGCATGGATGGCTTTTTGACCTGCTTGTTTTGTGTTTGTCTTTTTCTTCTAATATAATAACCAGGGATTAATGAAAATCAAGTTCCGTCCTCAGACAAGAGGTAAAGTTCAAACATTCTTCCCATACCTCTCAGAAAAGAAACCTAACCAGACGTAACTGAAGCAAATTTAGGAATGATGAAACTGCTTAAGACTTAGATTTACCAGCAGCCAACTGGGCTTTTTAAAATTTAATATGTTGGTTATAGAAAATGTAGCTATAACTAAGTAAACTTTAAGAATAGAGAATTAACATTATTCTGAGGTATTATATAGAAGTTGAAGAGTGGTAGTTCTCAGACTTTGTGATCTCTGCCCCTGTGCCTGATTTAACCAAAGACAACTAGAGTCTCATCCATCTCTGCACCCTTTCTGTTGTGATGGCATGCATCAGGTGGCCTCTGGAAAACTCCACTGTGTACTCCTTGGGAATAAAAACAGGCAAAGAACATTGTTACAAAGATAGTTTTGTCCTCATGAACCCCCTAAGAGGTTCCCCAGACCAAAATTTGAGAATCACTGGTATAGAGTAGCACTTTATCATGTAAATCCAGTTGTTTATACTCCAGTTAAACATGTATTATCTCTGGACACCACAGTTTTTTCCAATTTTAAACTTGTTCTATGTACTTTGTTTTTCAGGTAAAGAAGGAAAATTCAGCCAGCTGATTATGTTTTTAGCTTACTGCTGTCTGTGGAAGAAGTTGTTGCTCCATTGTTTGAATTACTGAAGACAGCAAGATATTTGTAAATTATCTTACAATAAACAACTTACAGTAAGAAAATCATTGTCTTATTATTTAAGAACAATAGCTATGGTTTTCAAAATGAGATGGTGCTAAGATAGTTTCAAATATTAACATGCTACTATTACAAATTTTAGTAGAAGATGATTTAAGAGGGTGTTCTGATTTTATAGTTTTATACAGCCTTAACAAGTCTAGTCTCTGGGGTCAGGGTGAGAAGGGATGCCAGCGACTTTAACCCAGACCTCCACCCGTCCACAACCGCAAAGAACAGTCAGCAAAACGAATAAAAGTGCTTCACTAGAGACATTTCCTTCTTTCTTTTTTATTCATTTGCTATTTCTTATACATGGGGTACAGAATCCCAAGCATATATTTACTCTAACTTTTTAAAATGTTTCCAAGCAAAGCACTGAGAAAAATATATTGACATTTAGATAAACTATAAAGATACAGTATACCTGATTCCACACACCAAGTCAACCACACCAAATGTCACTTTTTTTCTATTTAGTTAAAATAGGGAATTTTGGTTATTTATGTTACAAAAGTAATACAAGTCACAAAAAATATATAAAATATAAAAAACATTTCTTAATAGTCTGATGTTACTCTTGACTTTTAGAAACCACTAAATAAATGTATGTATTTAGAAATGATTCTTTAAATGTTTTACCAACACGTTTATTTTAACAATGAACTGAACGCTGATTTGTGTAGAAACTCATGAGCAAGTGCAAACCTGTGAAGGGGCCAGCACCACACAAGAGAAGAAAACTGACCAGAGCCTCAGAGGCCTTTGCCAACTCCCTGAATATCATAGGAGCCACTTCTTAGAGACAGCTGTGAACCAAGTTCCACATAAGACAACCTTGCAGGAATGTGGAGAAGGGACTGGGTAATGTGTGGGCTTTTGTCCATTTGTTCTGTTTGGCTTCTACGCTTGGCCCACTTCTAGTCTCCAGGGCAGAATGCCTGTGGGGGTGAATTCAGTGTCCTGGACAACATGGAAGAAGCAGGAATGTACAGCATGAGTAAGGACCATGGCATGCTGCCCTCCCGCCCCACCCCCTGCTTCTTAAGAGTACTAGGGTCAGGGCTCAGTAAGCCCTGCAGTGTGGGCGTGGATGTTCCCCTGTGGATAGGGTGACCAGACGTCCTGCTTTTCAACAATTTGTCCCGCATCCCACAGCGTTTTTAAAAAGTCCCGATTTTTGGAAAGAATGCACAAACAAGCGGGAAAATAAGAAGGGAATATACGTTTTCGGCTGCCATGTGGCTGTTTCGCCAGAATATGAGTTTTATATTATTTTTGTTAATTTTATAATGTTAAACTGTAATAACAACAAATAATTGCTGAGAAGTGATTATCGAGAACTGCTTATCAAAGTTTGCATTGGTGTCAGGCCCTGCCCTGCCCCCCCCATGTTGTCCCGCCTTAGCGATGTTAAAATCTGGTCACCTTACCTGTGGGGCCCCTCACCGAGTCCTCACTGCCCTGGGTGTAGGGGCTCATTTCCTATCCCAGCTTCCCCTCTTGTTATTTTAGTGATAACACATCCTCTAGGTTAGGGGGGTAAACCTTGTAAGGCCTATGCATCTTAAAATGTCTATGTTCATTTAAGAGTTTGTTTGCCTGTAAATTCTAGGTTGAATACTGGTTTTCTTCAGAGTTTTGAAGGCATTTGCTTCATTGTCTTCTGATCTACATGACTGCAAAAGTCTCGAAGCCTTTTGATTTCTGACCCATTGTTGACTGTTTTTGCCTGAATTATTATAAAATTTCCTGATGATTATCTTGGTATGAATCCATTTTTTGGTTTATGTAGGTAGAGACAGGGTCTTGCCATGTTACCCAGGCTGGTCTTGAACTCCTGTTCATGCTTTCCTCCTGCCTCGGCCTCCCCAAACACTGGGCTTACTGGCATAAGCCACTGTGCCCAGCCTGGAACCATTTTTATATGTTGCGGACCTTTTACTCTGTAAACTCAGAAAAACACAGTCTGGAGGCACTTCTGTCATTCACTGATGATCTCTTCCTTTCTGCTCTTTCTGGAACTTCTAATTTTCATGTGTTGAACCTTCTGGGTAGTCCTTAAATTTTACTTATTCTTTATATTTTTCATCCTTGTATCTTCTGCCTTGTGAGGGATTTTTTCCAATTTTATCTTCCAGTTCCTTTTTTATTCTAAATTTTCTGCCTGAATTAATACGGGATGTTTGTAGCTTTCAGAAACATCATCATTATTATTATTGGAGACTCTCTAAGTTAAGCTGGCACTCACTCATACAACACGATGATGCCCTTTAAGTTGGAGCCCACATGTCCTTGACCCCTCTGCTAGCACTGATCTCTACCCCCAGTCTTCATCTCAGAACTTTGCATTGTCCTTCAAGGCGGAATGGTAAGATCAGAGTTCTCTCCAGGGTTCTGTCTTTAGATCCTGTGCCCCCTACTATGCCACCTAGAAATAGTGGGTTCTCAACTACTGAGGAAAGCAGCTGCTCTCTCCTCTCCTAGAAGTTGAAGAGGTTCTTCCTGGCCTCCCCCTTTCTCAATTCTGTTAATTTTTTTTTTTTTTTTTTTAGTCTCACTATTTTGCCCTCAGGAGAGTGCCCTGGTGTCACAGCTCCCAGCAACCTCCAACTCTTGGACTTAAGAGATTCTCTTGCCTCAGCCTCCCAAGTAGCTGGGACTACAGGTGCCCACCACAACACCTGACTATTTTTTTGTTATAGTTGTCAATGTTGGCCAAGGCTGGATTCCAACACGCCAGCCCCAGCGTATGGAGTGGGCACCCTAACAACTGAGCTACGGATGCTGAGCCTGTTCATTCTCTTTTAAAATAGCTTTGTTGAAATCATTCATGGGCCATAGAATTTGCCTTTTAAAGAGTACAATTCAGCCTTCAGCTGTCCACTCTTTTTGAAATTACCTTGCCCAAGGTCAAGGCCCTCTCCTGAAGCAGCCCACCTATAGCTTTAAAGCTCTCTGGAGTAGCCAAGGCCTTCCCTGAGTGTGAGGTGCAGCCCAAAGTCTCCCTACTTTGATTCTGCTCTACCCTCCCCAACTCTCCCCCTCCCCAGGTGTGATCCCAAGAGCCCCCCCCCCCCCCCCGCAGGCTGCGCTCCATCTCAGAGACTGCCTCCCTGGAGTCCTGGTAGTAGATGGGCCTGAGAGACAGGACAAAGGTGGCATCTTGGAGCTTGATCACCAACTGGGCTGGCAGTAAAGACTTGAGCACTGGTGGTGGATGGGGTACAAAGGAGCTACCATCACAGAGTCGCAGTTCCTGAACACACAAGTTGCAAAACTTCCACCAGAGGACAACCACGGTGGTCTAACAGTAGAGACGAGCTGTTCAATGTATCAATGTATCATGCATTCAAATACTATGGAGCTCACAGGACCCTAAAATAGAGACCAGGAGGCAGTCAGAGCACCAGTCAGAAACCAAGTGAATGCAGTTAGGCTAGGAAAATCAGAGGGTGTGGGATCACCTGGATGGTTCCCAGAGCAAGGCGCCCCTGAGGAGACAGCAATAACCAACAAATGTGTTCCTCAAGCTATACAATCGATGTACTTCAAGGATGGGTAATCAGGTGGCCCCGATAACCAGCCATGATCCCTTGCCCAGTCTGGGGATCTGAGCGAGTTTTCAGACTGAAACTCCATCCACTGAAGGTCAGGAGGAAGAACGCTGCAACACCAAACAGATGAGGTAAGGATGCCCCTCCTTCCACAAGAGACCTGACAGCCATTTACTCAGTAACTGTCCACCGGGGAAGGGGGTCTTGAGGACTGCTGGCCACAGCCTGAGTGGAGAATGAAACCAGGAAACCATGTCGTCACAGGTCCCTTGTTAGAGTTGGGGCATCTGAGGCCAGTGATATCTGTATTCTTGGCCCTGGTCTGCTTGGTTTATGACCCACTCAGTGAGTGGCCAGTTCCCTGATTCCTGGATGTGTCACTGGGCTGCTGGCACAATTGCCGGTGCTTCCTAGGCCTGTGGGTTGAGCACTTACAGGAGCATTTGAAATCACTCCTGCAGCTTGGGTGTGGGGACAGAAATCAGTGCCAGTCTTCATGACCTAAAGGGTGCTGGGGTGGTTGTCCTGTTATATCTTCATTTCATTTGACAGTCAGTTGGAAGGGTGAGTGAGTTACTGCAGCTGCTCTATCTAGTGCAGCCTCTTTGCTGGAACAGATGTGGAGGTCAGAACCCACACACATACAGAGGCATGCGGCATGCAACCACAGGTTGACAAGACTTCCATCCCTTGGCTTTGTGCCTGTAGCTCAAGTGGCTAAGGCGCCAGGCACATACACCAGAGCTGGCAGTTTAGAATCCAGCCTGGGCCTGCCAAACAATGACAACTACAACCAAAAAATAGCTGGGCACTGTAGAGGGCGCTACTGGGGAGGCTGAGGCAAGAGAATCGCTTAAGCCCAGGAGTTAGAGGTTGCTGTGAGCTGTGATCCCACTTCACTCTACCCAGAGTAACAGCTTGGGATCTGTCTCAAAAAAAAAAAAAAAAAAAAAAGACTTTCATCCCATCCCAACAGAAAGGATCAGAAATAGTTCATATTCACTTGGAACAGACAATAGTATATATTTTGGTCATGCTCTAGAGCACTGGTTCTCAACCTTCCTAATGCGGCGAGCCTTTAATACAGTTTAGAGCTACATTGATTCCCCCACTCCGTTATTAAATCAGACAGTCCCAACTTAGAATGGCTCAACTTAGGATTTTTCGATGGTGTGAAGCAATATGCATTCAGTAGAAACCACACTTTGGATTTGGTCTTTCCTGCACCAGCCATGTGGGGTACGGTATTCCCCTGTGATGCTTAGGAGGGGCTGGGGTGGTGAGTAGGAGCTCACAGTCACTCATGTGATCCTAAGAATTTGCTTTGATGAGAAACAGGTGCATTCTCTGGGTGTGGCTTTGCCTTCCCTCCTCATGGTGTTGATCCACTAGGCTATCTGCTATCATGCGGATCAGCCCAAGGGCCCGTTTCAACAAAGGAGGGCCACAAGGCCATGACATCACTGGTCATACCATGCAGTGCACCAACCCAGAAGCTGGCGGCCTGGCAGGGCAAGGGAACGAACTGCCTTCCATGGCACAGCTGAAGTGGGGGGTGATCTTCCAGGATGCCGCCCACTTTAAGTCAAAGACTTTTCTCTGGTGCTGTTCCCAACAGGTAGAGGACACAGGGTGGAGACTGGGGTTTCTCCACTTAGCATCACTCCTAGGAACTCACCTGGGAAGTGTTCTTGCCCCTGCTACTCTGTATTCTCCGGGTTTATTTTATCCATCCGATTTCCAAAAGGGGAATGTTCTCAGAAGTGGCAATAGCAGGAGTCCCACTGAAATATTGGCTACAGCTGCTGCCTAGACACTTTGGACTTCAGCAAAGGGAGGGGTCTCGATCCCAACATGTATGACCGGGCCTGGTTGTCAGGACAAGGTTGGGCTGTTCCTGCACAGTGGGAGGGGCATTTGGCTCTCACAGAATCTATCCAGGTGCCTGTTGGTACTTTTTTGCCCAATTCTTGGTATAAGGACAAGTTCTGCAGCCCAGTCTGAAATGGTCATGAACACTAGGGACTCAGACCCACGCATGAGGAGGCATGCTGCCAGGCAAGCCACTGATGACAGAATTGAGAGAAATCTAGAATGGATAGAAGAGGAGGAAAATAATATCTATTGAGGCCCAGCTGTAGCAGTAGGTGCCATGATTTGCCTCCTGCCCTGTCCTCTAATGTTTTCCCCAGGGAAAAGGGCCTCTCTAGAATTCTGAAGGGTCTGTTTCTCAAACTTAGATCAAGATCAATCTTGACCCTAAGGGTACAAGAGTGGACAGTGAAGAATGTTACAACACACTGCTCAGAACCCCCAGGACTGAAGGACATCGGCTGTCCTTGGGACTCAGCTGCAGACAGCACCTCTGAGGTCACACACCCTCTCCTGGGTAGCCCTTATGAAATGACCTGTCAGCACAGCAATATTAAAGTCCAGCCTCCCTGTCCCCCAACTCAGAACAACTCTAAAGGGCCACCCGCCTTTACCACTGTTTATGGGACTGGCTCAGGCCACCCTTGGCAGTCTGCACTTTCGTTGCCACAGGTGGTATCCCATGAGCACACCTAAATAAACCTTCTGCAGGCCCATCTCAGAGTCAGGACCCTAGCAACCAAACCTGTGACATTCGGTCAAGTATGGCTATGTGCGGGGAGTGTTCTGTTTTGGGGAAATACATGCTGAAGTACTGAAGGGGTTTGTGAAGTTTGTAACTTACTTTCAAACTATTAAGAAAAAAAATACCTGTATGTGTATGCACACATAAATATCTAGTGAATGTGGCAAAATGTTAACAATTGGGGAATCTAGAGTAGTGTATAATGGGGTCTGTGATTTTGTTTCAACTTTTCTGTATGTTTGAAATTTTCCAAAATAAAAGTCCAAGGGGTTATTAATGCTCTCACATTCGATATACAGGTGAATGAAGAGATCAAGGTGATGGGGCGCATTTGTGAAATCCAAGTACCTCCAGTAGTGTTTCCAACTTAATTATCAAATTGTTACAAAATGGTCAAGTTGGCCAGGCCTGAAAGCTATCCCACAGATTTAACAGCAAAAAGGTCCCTGATGGCCACTAAACTCCAGCCTGGGCAACAGAGCAAGGTCCTATCTCTAAGAACAAAAAAAAAAAAAATGGGCTTGGCGCCTGTAGCTCAGTGGTTACAGCGCTGACAACATACACCGGGGCTGGCGAGTCCAAACCCGGCCCAGGCTTGCTAAACAACAATGACAATAACTACAACAAGAAAAACAGCTGGGCCTTGTGGTAGGTGTCTGTAGTCCCAGCTATTTGGGAGGCTGAGGCAAGAGAATCGCTTAAGCCCAAGAGTTTGAGGTTGCTGTGAGCTGTGACACCACAGCATTCTACCCAGGGTGACATGGTAAGACTCTGTCTCAAAAATAATAAATAAAAAGTAAGAAAAAAAAATCCCAGAAAATCTTGGGGACAGAAATATCAACAGAGTAAATATTACAGGCATCTTACCACCTAGTGCCTTGCTTCTCTGCAGAATTGTAACTCAGCTGAAGTATCATATTTCCAGTTCCACTGGGTTTTCAGTATCCACGTTCATTGTTCTGGAATAGTCTCTGGGAGGAAGGTGGGTTCAGGAGGTCATGTTTAGGAAATTGAGTGGATCGGCTATTAACAACTGGGCTACCCACAGACTGAATTTAACTAGCCTAACTGTGGGATTAATTTAGCTTGCAAATTCAAACTTTTAAGATGTGCTCCCCAAACTGCATTTAAAAAAACCAAGATGAGGCCTGGAGTGGTGGCTCACACCTGTAATCCCAGCACTCTGCAGCCAAGGAGGGTGGATTGCCTGAGCTCACGTGTTGGAGACCAGCCTGAGCAAGAGCGAGAGCCTGTCTCTAAACAGCTGGGTATTGTGGCGTGTGCCTGTAGTCCCAGCTACTTGAGAGGCTGAGGCAAGAGAACCGCTTAAGCCCAAGAGTTTGAGGTTGCTGTGAGCTGTAACGCCATGCCACTCAACTGAGGTGACAAAGTTAGAGCTTGTCTCAAAAAACAAACAACCCCCCCCCCCAAGATATTTATCACAAAAACCTCAATTTCTGGCATCTTGGAAAGACCCAGCAATACCTGGCTGGAGCTACAAAGGTCTGGAGTAGGCAAGCAGCCTGCATCACCGATTTAAGGCACTTGTTAGGCCTGTGTAGGCAGGTGGGTCCCTTATTGCCTGGACGGGTCCACAGTGCAATACGAAAGGAGGCAAACTATTCAGACGTGTTCAAGTCACCTCCAGCTCACCAGTTTCTGTGTTTAAAAAAAGAAAAGTTTTGTTGTAACCATGACTGAAATAAGGTGAGACAGGAATTCACGCCATGGACTTTTAGAAAAATGGGGTTATATCTTGATCACTGAGATTTTTGAGAGGGGCCGTTAGTTTGGCCCAGAAGGTCTCGCTCCAGTTCCAGTCCTGTTGGGAAAGGCTTCGAATGACAAGCTGAACAGCTTGGACGTTATTTAATCTACACCGTGGCAAGCAGCTCAATTTTTTTCTCTTTTTTTCGACCAAATCAGACCCGCATTGACATTAACGTTAACTCTCTAACATGCCTAGGTCGTACCCCAGCTCCCTCTTTTACCTCTAAAGCACAGACGCCCTCCTCTCTCTCCTTTCGGGGATCACCCCGCCCCGGGAGGGCGCCAGCACCTTCAATCCTGGGCGCGCCCTTCACCTGTGCTGCGCAGGCGCACGCGCACTTCCGGCCGCCCACCAGGCCCGCAGGGCGATACCGAGCTCGTCGCTCTGCTCCCACGGGGCGGAGCTTCCTCATCAGTGCGCTCGGCGTTCATCTCGTGCTGACTCGTCCCGGCGGGCGTCCAGCGGGAGGCGGAGCGAGTCCAAAATGGCGGCTCTCAGGCAGGCGCGCTCCTTGCTGCTGGGGTTTTGAGGTGGTCGCCCGGGGTCCAGGGGACGATTTCCCCGCCGCGGGGGCCCGAGAAGATGAATCGAGGGCTCTGCTAAGGTCAGGCGGCGGGGCTGGAGAGAGGTGGCAGCAAGGGCTGCGGTGGCGTCCACGCAGCGGGATGTGTGAGAGTTACTCCAGGTCGTTGTTGAGGGTCTCGGTGGCGCAGATCTGCCAGGCGCTGGGCTGGGACTCGGTGCAGCTCAGCGCCTGCCATCTCCTCACGGACGTACTGCAGCGCTATCTGCAGCAGCTGGGCCGGGGCTGCCATCGGTACTCGGAGCTCTGTGAGTACCGGGCTGGGTGCGGGAGGGCTGCCCCGGCAAGTCATGAGTGACACCTCCGGTCTCCCCGTCCCTCTTTCGGCGTCCCCGGGGTTTGTGTCCTGCACTCCGTTCCCAGATCTGCTCCCTCCTCAGCCTCCGACGCCCCTGGGCTTCCACTGCCTTTGCAAACTCTAGTCATCCCTTAGGTGCCTCTTCCTCATCCGCTAACTTCCCGCCACCAGCCCGGGAACCAGTCTCCGCTCCCGGCTCCACACCTTCTCACCTCTCCTCGGCTCTGAAATGTCTCGGGCTTTCTCATTGTCGCCTGTCTGCGGACAGTAGAACCGCCGCAGAATGCCTTACACCCTCTTTTACCCTGGACCTTTTCCTCTCTTGCCTGCAAACTACTACAACTAGTTGTCACAGGCGCTCCGTCTACCGGCCGTTTCATACAAGACTGGCCATTCTTTAGCTCCTAACTACACAGAGACTCGTTGACAGCTCTCCTCCGTTAGAGACACTGCCTCTTCTTTCTGTGTCTGTTCCTTTCCTAAGTAACACCCCCAGTTACTGTTTCCCAAGGCTGACGTTGTCAGTTTCGCTGATTAGATTAGCTTTCACTTAGGTCTCAATGGCCCATTGACTGCACCTCTTTACTTTGTATGTCAGTGGTTATCAAAGTGTGATAGAAAGGTCATAGGCAATTTACAAGGTTCTTCAGGTAATCTGGGCACAGTACTTACAGGTTTTAAGTGAACATCTGGCAGTACCTATAGCTAGTGGTATTTAATATGTGGATAGAAAGAATGGGATATTTTAATAGAAGTCATATATTGTTGATGTGAAGCAAGGATGTGTGTGTTGGAGATGGGTGACTACTGCTTATTTAAATTTCAGGTCAGGACTTTTTAAACTGGTAGAGCTGGAGAACTGGATGAAGTGTTTCATAGGATATTTTGTTTTGTTAAAGTTTTTACTAGACTGAAAAATTGAGACCCACAGGCACTGTGTTCTTCTTAAGCCCTAACTTCCGTTCCCACTTCCATGATACTGCCAAAATAATCTGTTTCCAATACAATCTGACCCTGTTATTCTTGCAAAAATACATGATATTTCAACTGTACTCTATTGGTTACAGGCCAAAAATCTAAACTCTTAGCAGCACACAGTTCCCTTTGTGAGCTACCATTTTTCTTATCTTCTGCTCCTTCCTGTACTAATCGGCAACCATGCTGAGCTACCTGCCTTTCCCACGTGTGTTTTGTTTTGTTTGAGACAGAGTCTCGCTTTGTCACCCTGGGTAGAGTGCTGTGACTTCATAGCTCACAGCAACCTCAAATTCCTGGCCTCAAGGATCCTCTTGCCTCAGTCTCCCAAGTAAGTGGGACTACAGGTGCTCACCACAATGCCCAGCTATTTTATTTTTTTTAAGATATGGGGTCTCCCTCTTGCTCAGGCTGATCTCCAACTTATGAGCTCAAGCAATCCACCTGCTTTGGCCTCCCAGAGTACTAGGATTATAGGTGTGAGCCACCCCAGCTGGCCTTTCCCAAATGTTTTAAGCCAGCGGTGCTCAACCTGTGGGTCACAACCCCTTTGGGGGTTGAACGACCCTTTCACAGGGTTCACCTAAATACATCGTGCCTATCAGATATTTACATTATGATTCATAAGAGTAGCAACATTACAGTTATGAAGTAGCAACGAAAATAATTTTATGGTTGGGGGTCAACACAACATGAGGAACTATATTAAAGGGTTGTGTATTAGGAAAGTTGAGAACTACTTTTTTAAGCTATCCATTCCTGTATGCGTTCTGCTTCTTTGAGAGCCCTTTGCCCCTGGTGTACAGTACACTACTTATATTTTAAGATGCACATATTATTTGTTCTAGGGAACTCATATTATCTGCTCTCGTAATACTTTGCATATTTCTGCTATGTTATTCGTCACCTTGTTTGTAATTGTGTGTGTATGTCTCTTTCCCCTCCCCAGGAAACACACTGATTATATTTGTACTCTGTAACCCAGTATGAGGCCATAATGTAATAGGCACCCAGGAAATATTTGTTGAATAAATGAATGAACTGATAATCCACAACCATAATAGCTATTTGTTGGCTTCATATTTTGAGCTCCAAAAATGTATTATTTTTTGAATGCTTGCTTTCACTGATACTTTCAAATTTGGAACTGCAAACTGATGTGTATTCATTGTTACATCTTTAAAGTCAGACACTAGCAGAATACTCTTCTGGCGTTTGCTTTTTCATCCCTGAACCCCTTCATGATCCTTGAGTAAACTGTTACCATTATACTAAGTCAAGATTATATTTTTGCTACCAAGTTCTCTAAATAGGGACAGATGTTCTGTACCTTTAGGTACTTAAAATATCCCCTGAATACATAGTTACCTTTCATGCTTCATACTAGTCCAAAATATGTGCTGGCACTCCATGTAACTGAGTATTCCAGAGTCATCAAGGGGTCATCGTTAGGCTTTAATGTAAACCTTATTCCTGATTACCCAATTTCTATAGTCACTTTTCTTGGTTTCAGTGAGAATGCAATTGTCAGGTTTATAATTTTGCATTGTGGTTTGGTGTCTTTGAGTGCTAATTTTGGTATACCTAAAAATTTAGACAGATATTCTTAGGTTTTTTCTATACTACCCTTGTTTTAAAATGGAGTTCCATAACCTCCAGTTGTGACTATGTAGTCTTATATTCTATTCCTTTAAACTCTTTTTCTTTCTCTATTTTCTTGAGATAGGATCTTTCTGTCTCCAGGGCTACAGTGGAGTTATCATAGCTCACTGCAACCTCAACTCTTGGGCTCAACTGTCTTCCTGCCTCAGCCTCCCAAGTAGCTGAGACTACAAGCTCACACCACCATACCTGGCTAACTTCTCTACTTTTTGTAAAGAGAAGGATCTCACTTCTGCTCAGGCTGGTCTCCAACTCCTGGCCTCAAGCAGTCCTCCCACCTCAGCCTCCCAAAGTGCTAGGATAACAGGTGTGAGCCACCATACCTGGCCACTTTCTGTATTTTTGGCAAAATTTATTGAGCACCACTTATGAACTAAGTGGAGATGTGGAAGATGGGAAATTACTAAGATGCAATCCTTGCTCATAAAATGTGTTCAGAGGTGTTAGAATGTCAACAAAAGCAAACTGATGGTCTCAGTGCCCATAACTCAGTGGCTAGGGTGCTGGCCGTGCAGACCAGGGCTGGTGAGTTCAAACCCTGCCCAGGCCTTCTAAACAACAATGACAACTACAACAAAATAATAGCCAGGTGTTTTGGAGGGCACCTGTAGTCCCAGCTACCTGGGAGGCTGAGGCAAGTGAATCCCTTAAGCCCAAGAATTTGAGGTTGCTGTGAGCTGTGACGTCACAGCACTCTACTGAGGGTGACATAGTGAGGCTGTGTCCCCCCTCCCAAAAATATATATATACACACATATATATATGTGTGTGTATATATATATAATTTTTTAAAAAGCAAACTGATGGTATTTGTGTCTTTAAAAAAAATTCTAAAGTTCAAGCAAGTATTAGAAGTTACTTCAGGTTTTATTATTATATTAATATAGATGTTTCTGTATATACTGTATTATGTATGAAATAACAGGTGCACTTGAGCTGAAAGCAGATGGGAAACCTTTCAGAATGAAACTTTTCGTACTCTAACTTATTTATGGCTTGGTCCAGGCAGTAAATGCAGGAGTAAGATAAAGGAGGGATGGTTGTAGACCATGAATTCTTTACTTTACCAGAAAGATAAGATTTGGGTTGAGCTATTATGTATGGTTATCTAAAGGGGTAGTGTATTCCAAGCTCAGCACTGTAGTCTTGCTGTGTTGCCAGGTCTGAAGTGCTGTGGCCATTCACAGCATGTACCATTATAGCACACTACAGCCTTGAACTCCTGGGCTCAAGAGATCCTCAGACCTCAGCTTCCCCCTATAGCTGGGACTATAGGTGCCCACTATTATGCCCATCTAAAATGATTATATTTTTTAGTCCAAGAAAGTCATAATGGTTTTACGGAATAGAAGAGTCAAAATGCATGTCTGTGTTCAGTAAGAGGAAGAATGAAGTTTAGTTTTGTTTTGTTTAGAAAACCCATTTGTAGAAAATTCAAAGACTACATTAGGTGTTTTGAGGTAGAAGTCTCCTGCTACAACCACACCATTCTCTGCCACTGCAGCTTCTCAGCCCTTAACTGTTAGCGATTGCCCATGTGCCCTTCCTTAATTTTCTGTGTGTGTTAGCACACATGCATCTTATTCTTGCAAAATTTGGATTCTTCTTTTTCATTTTGCAGTGTGATTTAATTTCAGATACTTAGTTTGAAGTGATCATGGAAGATTTAAGTAAAAAGAAATCTTTTAGGCTATTAAATATTTGGAACTGGAGTTTTCATAGCTCATGTTTCCAGCATTCTCTCATCTCAGCTGCCCAGCACTTTGGGCAGCTAAGGTGAGAGAATTGCTTGTGGCCAGGAACTTAAGGCTGCATTGAGCTATGATCATTCCACTGTACTCCAGGCCAGACAACAGAGTCTCAAAAAAAAAAAAAAAAGCACCCACCAAAAAAATAGAGACCTTAAGTTCTGTTAATAGGAAAAACTTGGCTTTTTAAAAGAAAATTTCACTATAGCTAACTTTTTATTTTTTTCTCTCAATCTATTTGGTGGTGGTTTTTAATTATATTTGAAGATTTCCTTGGATGTAAAGAATCTATTTAATGGTAAAATCCATTCAACAGGTATTTATTGAGTGCCAGCCACTGTTTTAGGTTTCAGAGAAACACCAGTGAACAACAGAGGAAGTATAATGGACATATACTTAATCAATACAGCATACTTCTTATTTGATCATAAAAATAATAATAATTCTTATAGGCCATGTATACTTTTGACCATCTGTAACTGCTTCTGAAATTTGTTCTATACTAGCTGATCATTAATGTGATTGTGGTGTTTGGTTAGTTGTCAGCTCATTTTTTTTTTTTTTTTTTGGAGACAGAGTCTCTCATTTTGTTACTCTCAGTAGGGTGCTGTGGCATCACAGCTCACAGCAACCTCAAACTCTTGGGCTCAAGTGATTCTCTTGCTTCAGCCTTCCCACTAGTGGGGACTACAGGTGCCTGCCACAATGCCTGGCTATTTTTAGAGATGGGGGTCTCGCTAGCTTAGGCTGATCTCAAACCTGTGAGCTCAGGCAATCTGCCCACCTTAGCCTCCCCAAGTGTTGGGATTACAGGCATGAGCCACCACATCCAGCCTTTCAGATCATATTTAAAATTGACTTTAAGAGTCAGCTTTCTGGGCTGGGCATGGTGACTCATGCCTGTAATTCTAGCACTCTGAGAGGCCAAGGTGGGTGGATTGCCCTGAGCTCAGAGGTTCAAGACCAGCCTGAGCCAGAGTGAGACCCCGTCTCTACCAAAAACAAAACCAGGCTTTGTGGCGGGCACCTGTAGTCCCAGCTACTTGGGGGGCTCAAGCAACAGAATCGCTTAAGCCCAAGAGTTGGAGGTTGCTATGAGCTATGATGCCACTGCATTCTACTGAGGGCTACAAAGTGAGACTCTGTCTCAATAAAAAAAAAAATAATAATAAAAAACAAAAGTGTCAGCTTTCTGGGCCTGGTGCAATGATTCACACCTATAATCCATCACTTTGGGAGGCTAAGGTGGGAAGATCACTTGAGGCTCAGACTTCTAGGCCAGCCCTGAACAATATAGTGAGACTCTGTACAAAAAATAAAAACATTAGCCAGGCATGCTGGCACGGGCCTCTAGTCTCAGCTTCTCAGGAAGGTGAGGCAGGAGGATTGCTTGAGCCTAGTAGTTCAAGGCTGCAGTCAGCTGTGATTGCAACAGAGGGAGACCTTATCTCTAAAAGAAAAAAGAAAAAGAATCAGCTTTCTAATACTTAAATAATGGGATACTCTGTTTATAAGCTATTAAATTCTTCTTAATAACTAGGCTTTAAATATATAGTATATATGATTCTCAGGTGCATATTCACTTAATATTTTTTCTTAATATTATAAAAAATATTCATGGGATTTTCTTCAATTTCGATGTATTTTTGACTTTGTTTCAGATGGCCGAACAGACCCAATTTTGGACGATGTTAGTGAAGCTTTCCAACTTATGGGGGTTAGTCTGCATGAACTAGAAGACTATATTCACAATATTGAACCTGTCACTTTCCCACATCAAATTCCTTCGTTTCCTGTTAGCAAGAACAATGTACTTCAGTTTCCTCAACCTGGAAGTAAAGATGCAGAAGAAAGAAAAGAATACATCCCTGATTACATGCCACCCATCGTGTCTTCTCAAGAAGGTTTGTGATTGTTGGTTTGTTTCTTCCTCATATTGTTAATGTCACTGTCAGCCAATACGCAGACCCGGGGACAGGTCCAGCAAACTTTATTTGTTCGAAGGCCGATGATTTTGGAGAACAGTGAGAGTAGCCTCTCTAAGACTGTTCTGTCCTTCCATTTCCAAAATCACAGTTCTATCCATAAAGGTTCAAAGTGAAGATCACCTTAACTTTTATTTTAAATGGTAATCAGTACAACTCAGTAACCATCTATTACATTTCCGATTCAAAAGTCAATTTCCTAAATCAATTCTTCTAAAGCAAAGACCACATTAACCCTTATTTTAAATAATAATCAGCGTAACTCAATGACCTATTGCAACACTTCTAATTCAGAAGTCAGTTTCTTAAATTGTTCTTCCTAAAATATTCAGGGTGGGCATCTTTGGTTTGGGAGCTAAATATACAAAACGGTAGGACTGAGAGACAGGAGGTGAAGGTCACTTAGGACCTAAAACGACTAGGCCAGACTAGGCCAGCTGTGTCATGTGGGCCCCAGCCTGACAGACTCCATCTTATTCTCACTACCTGTGCTTTCCATGTGGTAGTGACTATTTTATGTGATTCTTTTCCTCTTAGCTTTCTATGTTGTGCCAGCATGTAAATTCTAGAAATGCAATCGAAATATCTTATTACTTGAAAATTATTCGAACTCCTAAACTTGCAACTGACGTTACCACATTACCAGGTGGCATAATCAAGGGTGCATCTGATGAGGCATTTATCTCCTCTGTCAGGTTTAAACAGGGAAGAAAAGAATGTCAGCAACTTCCTTCTTTCGCTGTCTTTCAATAGGCCATATTGTGAGAGAATGGGATATTAAGTAAATTAGAAAACCTTCGAAACAGGAAAGGAAAAGTGGGGTTGCTCTTCCTCCCCTCTTTATTACTGTGAGCTGAGCCGTTCTACTACGATCCGTGAGTGAGTTGTTCGTATTCACTGATATTACACAGGCTTACCTGTTTTCTCTGATGTAGAGAGATGTTTCTCGTTCAGTCTTCTTTATGAAATGATAGCAAATCAGGCACAGTGGTCAATCCATTGCCGAGTTCTTTTGTTCTGCATGATTTTACACGTTGATCATCAGCTTCACCAACCAGAATCTAAAGAGATACTTAAGTAATTTGTGGTCTCTGATGGAGGTACAAAATACTTTTTCTTGTAAAAAATAGAAAAGTTGCAATTAATTTCTTTCCTTTTATAAAAAACAATTAAAAACCATAGGTATACTTTGGGACAATGAAAAAGGTGCCAGAAATAACTTTTATTTATGTGGGGTTTTTTTTTTTGAGATAGTTTCACTTTGTCACTCTGGCTACAGTGCTGTGGCGTCATAGCTCTCAGCACCCTCCAACTCTTGGGCACAAGCGATTCTCTTGCCTCAGCCTCTCAGAGCGGGGAGGACTACAGGCACCTGCCACAGTGCCAGGCTATGTTTTATAGATAGAGTCTTGCTCTTGCTCAGGCTGGTCTCCAACCTGTGAGCTCAGGGCAGTCCACCTGCCTCAGTCTCCCAGAGTGCTGGGATTACAGGCACGAGCCACTGCACCAGGCCATTTATATGTATTTTTTAATTGTGGTAAACATGCATAACATAAAGTGGGCTATTTTAACTATTTTTTTCCCGCCCAGTTCTCATTGTGCAGTATTTCAGCCATTCTTAGGCGTTCTGGGACATTAAAGTACCTACACATTGTATCACCACCATTACCACCATCCATGTCTAGAGCTTTATCATCTCCCTACACTGAAATTTGGTCCTCTTGAAAAATAGCCCCCCATTCTCCACTTCTTCCGGTTTCTGGCATCCACCAGTCATTTTCTGTCTCCATGAATTTGCCTACTTAGTTACCCTGATGGAAGAATCACACAATATTTGTCTTTTAGGGACTAGCTTATTCCACTTTAGTACAATGGCTTCAGGATTTGTCCGTTTTGTAGCCTCTGTCAGCATTTCCTTCCTTTTGAAGGCAGACTAATAGTACATTACATCAATGTTCCACACTCGGCTGTTCACCTGTCGATGGACATTTGGGTTATTGAACAATAACCTTTTGGCTCCTGTGAACATGTACTGAACGTTGGCATGCAGATAGCTTTTGTAGGGTCTTGCCTACGGAAGTTCCTGGTTTCTCCTTCTTTCCGAGGATACTGATACTATTAACATGTCAGTCATCCCTAACTTCCCTTAACAATGGCTTAAAGTTCTGTCCCCACACCCCCACTTTGAAAATATTTATATTTGTAGACTTTATTACCTTTGAGGAAATCTTACTGTTCATATTCCCTTGTGAACTTGTTCTATTTAACCCCTCATTCCCTAATGTCAGTATTTTTCATCTCAGAAACCTACGTTTATAACAACTTCTCTAAACAGAAAGTTATTTGCTTTAGAAACGCATGCAACAAATGCGTGTAAATAGCAACATGGTGTAAAGAGGGTTCCTGCGCAGAGGCCTGGGCACTCGCTGGTCTGAGGAGAGCTGGTTTTCTCTTTTGGACAGCCATGAGGGCCAAGCGGTCCTGGGATTTCCTTCTTTGTTTTTGTCCTTAAGTAGGGTTTGTTAAGCATCCTAGACATCTTCATCAAGTAGTGTTACTGATCTATGACATGTCTTCTTGCACTCAGAATAATCTTTGTATGGCTCTGAAATGTTTAGCTGAAAGGCCGCTTAGAAGTAGTACAGTCATCAAAACGAACTGTCATCAGATGCTGGGAGGCAGCTTAAGGCATTATAGAGGGAGACACGGAAGGAAAGACCCTGCACTGACATGTAAGGAACGGGATGCCAGTGATTCTTAGAACCAACGATAAGGAGCATGAGTTTTCTGTCATTGATGTGGATGGTGGTCAGGTTTAACAACCAAGACTCATGTGCACTATCAAAGGCACCTGAATGAGCCAGAACTACCGTCTTCTCCGGTTTTTAGACTTTACTCCATATTCTCTGTGCCTTTGGGAGCTTTCTAGATCTGTTTTGTGGTTTGCTTATCTTTTTTATCTCCTATTACACACCACCTATTTAATAGTTAAATTACTTCATTCTTTTTCCTGTTTTTAAAAACTATTTAGAGTCTGATGGACAACATTGGATTAATCCTTTGGGGGGGATTAATCTTTTTTTTTTTGTAGAGAGAGTCTCACTCTATTGCCTTGGGTAGAGTGCTGTGGCATCACACAGCTCACAGCAACCTCCAACTCCTGGGCTTAGGCCATTCTCTTGCCTCAGCCTCCCGAGTAGCTGGGACTACAGGCGCCTACCACAATGCCCGGCTATTTTTTGTTGCCATTTGGCTGGGTCCAGGTTTGAACCTGCCACCCTCAGTATATGGGGCTGGTGCCCTATCCACTGAGCCACAGGCACCGCCCCTGAATTAATCTTTTTTTATTTTTGAGATAGTCTCAAGCTGTCACCCTGGGTAGAGTGCTATGACATCATAGCTTATAGCAACTTCCAACTCTTGGGCTCAAGCAATCCTCTTGCCTCAGTTTTTCTGTTTTTAGTAGAGACAGAGTCTTGCTTTTGCTCAGGCTGGTCTCAAGCTCATGAGCTCAAGCAATCCACCTGCCTCGACCTCTCAGAGTGCTAGGATTACAGGTGTGACCCCACCATGCTGGCAGGGAGGAATTAATCTTAATCCTTGGTTCAGACATACGCTGATCATCGATCCATGCATGACCTGCGTTTATTTATAGTTAGTTTTGTTTATGTGATAAGCCCTAATCAACTGACTACCTGAAACCAAAGCTAGAACTTTGATAATAATCTGCACTTAACCATTTGGTTCCCCTTGTTTTATTTTTATAACCCACAAATATTATACAACAAAATTCTCTTAAAGTGTTATAGTTACCATGTGTAAAACTGCTAAGGAAATGTAACTAAGATCAGATTTATATTGGGTAGCGAAGGAGCATGAAAGACAATTTAGTGATTTTTAGATACTTCTGGCTGAAATCACTATATTACAATAAATTTGGGGGCTTTTTTCCTGGATTATTTGAAGCAAAAGGAGAATCTTCTTTAAAGTTTTCTGCAATATAAATTATACACATTTTAAAAGGAAAATAACATAAGCCTCGAGAACAATACCAAGTGTCTTCAGCAAACACTTATGCTTTGTCTAAGGAGCAGGCATATTGCTGATTGGTAAGATACGCATGTGGTTCATAAGGACGCAATAAGTGATAGGCAGTACGGGAAGATGCTTATCAGAACCCTTTCCCCATTCATGCGAAGAGGATATAAAATGCAGTCCTGTGGTTATATTTTTTAATATAGCCACACAAGTCAACTTAATAAATCATTTATAATCTGAATTTTTTTCTCCCATGGGTACAGCATGTTAGAGAGTTCCTAGTATTCTGGCTAATGGTGCAAAGTGTGGTACAGAGGTGAACAGCTTTGATAATGAGACTGTTTGCCAAGCTCTGTGTTTTCCTTTTACTTCCTGAAGAGCCCCAGACAGGGGCAGGCTTTGGTTATAAAACACCATTAGTAAAGTATTGCCGTGGGGCTCGGCTCCCCTAGTGTCAATCATTCTACTTTGTGAACGTCCAGAAAGCATCTGAATGTCTTCTGCGGCACAGAACTTGGAGCACTGCGAGCATGGGAGCGTCAGAGGCTGAGTGTGACCTCAGGGTGTTAAGGGTGACTCAGAGTCACTCTCCCTTTCTGAACTTTGGAATAGGTATAATAACACCTGTCATATTGGTGATAGCACTGAGTGAGGTATTTTTTATAAGACGTTTCTGTAAAATAGGACAGTGCTTCTTAACACATAAAAATGAATGTTAGTTCTTTTCCCATTTGTCCTTTCTCACTCTCAGGGAAATTTACTTTTGAATTTAAATGCAATATACATGTCTGAAGTCACTCTATAATAAGAAGAAATAAAAAGCTGTGTGTGGCAGGGACCACCTGTCCTTCTATCCACTCTGGAGGCTGAGGCAGAAGGAT